TTTCCGAAGTGGTTATCATTCCGACGAAAATGTAGCGGGGAGGAGAGGGGAGAAAGACAACGCTAAAACGCCTTTTTACTTTTTATCCCTTGGCTTGTAAGTATTACAACTGCTTGGATATAGCTCAACATCCGTTTTAACGGATACTATTATCCTTGACCAAATAGCAGGACAATAGATTTCTATTTTGTACATTTCGAGCATTCACGAAAAGCGGATTGTCTCTGCGCAAAGATCTGTTCACAATAACTATCTCGTTCTGTCCACAGTGTACAAACCGCAATTTAAAAAATAATTGCAGAACAATGGAAAAATAAGTGATTTGTTCGTGTTTTCTGAAATTTGTCGAATTGGACACGTATATCGATTTGTAGTTAGCACAGGAAAACTGACGTAGTACGCACATAAATATAAAGAGAAGAACTTAATGGTGCGTATATGCAATATCAAGTCGCGATTTCATTGAGAATACTCACTTGAGTAGGAAAGGATCGAGTGGGGATACGTGAGATCGGTCGACTTCACCCAAAGGCAGAATGTAAATTCATGAATTTCCGGCACCGGCAGTTGCCATCTGAGGAACTGAAAAGTAAAGATGAGTTAACAACATATCACACGTTCATTTGGTGATGCTATGTGACTTGTCTTTATGTCGACGATGATGATTCTTTGATCATTTTTTAAGTTACATTTCTCTCACGAGGAGAATATTCAAATATATCTACTAAACCTGTATAAAATCTCTTCTAAATATCTAAAAAAAAGTTGTAGAAATCTTTTTAATTAAATCTCTTAAATTTTCAGTGAACTTTATTTTAACAAAATTGAAATCTCAGAATTTTTTTTTAGTTTTACAAAACGCGAAGTTGAACGTTGATGAAGTCATAGAGAAGAATTTTCACCGAAGAAAAAAATTATTCCGAGTTAGTCAAAGAATTTTTGTAAGTAGAAGAAAGTGTAGATAATCTGGGACACATTGCAGATGTAGAAATGGGTATGTAGACCACGACCAACGTTTCTTAGAGTGAACGATGGAGATTAAGCAATCAGTGTGAAATCGACTCTTTTTTTCACGTGCAATGGAACTGCCCTCACGTAATCGATAGAAATCTCGCCAGTTTCCACGCTTCGTTGGAATATGTGTATCTTTTATTTCCGACAACATGGCGATTTATCATTATTTGTTCCCACTGTTTTGTGTTAGCTTTTCACTCTCGATATATCTAAATCTAGATACGGGGTATTACGGAATGTTTTGCTGCGCAATCTCTGTAGCCAATTTGACTAATCGCTTACTCGAACGTTTCAACGAAATTAGAGAATTCCTGTAGGACTGCGCAATATCACGAGTGTTAAAAATTTTCATGTTACTAACTGTAAGGTTGAACAATTGAATTAATTTTTGAAATTTGTTATTATCTAAAACAGATATATGAGTCATCCGATACACTTCTGACACTTGAAAAATTGAACGCTTAATTTTATTTACAAATTATACTTATTTTCTGCATTTTTAGTAGCTTTCAGCAATGTAAAATTACACAAATCATTCCGTAATTTAGTGCCATGGTCTCTGGTCATGGTCTGGCTGTGGCATTTGAAATTTCTACTCTATTTCATCTTCCATCTTTCTCTTTCTTTTTCTCTGCTTTCTCTTCTACATACTAAATACATTTAGTTACTAAATAGTTTATTATATTAATCCTTTGCAATCTTGTGCTGAGTTGGACTCATAATGCGCTGTGGTAGCCTATCGCATAATTCTTCAAACATTCGAATCTATAAACGATTATAATCGGCGAATTACATCTTTGGGGAATCTCCATAAATTCACTTAAGTAATAAAAATTCTTGGATTTATGTTAGACAAGCTGATTAGATGAAGTTGAGGACGAAATACTTGATTCTCGTACTAATTCTCATTTGCAAGAAATAGTTTGGACCGCAAAGGATTAGACGAGAATGCTCTCGTGTTCTTAACGCAAATTAAACTGAAAATCCAGCTATTCCCGAATTACATCTCACTACTGCATCGCACTGCGATTCTCACCTGAATATAGCCCTTCTGCGTTAACTGCACGCTGTGCATCGGCGTGCCACGGACATTCCTCTCGGTACCGACGAGCTCAGTCGATATTCTCGAAACCGCCGCGACGAGCAAGCCCAGGAGGATCAAGGACGAGGAAGGGAGAATGCTAATTCCGAAGTTCGTCACGAATTTCTTCATTCTTATCTGATCATCGCCCTCGTTGCATCTAATTGCTGTTTCTTCAATCGCTTCGCGGCGAAAGTTCGCCGTTTGCTTCTTACGCCTGCTGCTTCGTCTTCTTCTTCGTATATTATTCCCAAGAGAGAGATTTCTCTCTCTCTCTCTTTCTCTCTTTTCGTCTCCTTGGCCCGCTCCGGCCTTCCCTCCGTTTAATCTTATCTCGCGTCTATCTGATCGCGCTCACGAAAAGAGAATTGTCCCTCCGACGTTGTCCGCTGAACTCTTCTTGCCAATCTTGCCTGCCGGTATCTCTTTTTCAGCCGCTGCAACACGCGACGCTGCAAGTTCCTTCGTCCTCCCGTCCACCCTCCCGGTCAAACTGCAGAAAACTACCTGGCATCTCCCCCTCGTTCGCCGATCTTCCTCCACGCTTGTCGCTTGTCGATTTTTTACTCTCCACTCGGCGTCCCTGCGCTTCGCAAACTCTTTTTCGCGACTTTTTCGCGACTTATCTCACTTGTCACTCGCCAAGTGACATTTTCCGCGATCGGGACAACGACACCTAAGGATTTTCCGTCCTTCAATAGCAGACTTTGTCTTTGGATTCTCTGTACGCCGTCCTTTTTCATTCGCGCCTGCCGACGCGACGAAAGAAACTAAACTCCTCGTCGTGTATATTTTCCCGGTACACGATTGCCGAGAAACTCCAAAGATATCTTGCTCCCGACTCCCTTTGCTCGACGCGTGACAACTTTCGCGGCTAAAAGCACAAAACTCCAGCGACCTTCTTTTCTTTCTCGTTCTATCGAAAGCCTCAACAGCACTCTCTTGGTCCTTACTTGATGATCTTTATAATTAAAAGCACGCCAAGTGAAAAGAGCTTTCAGCAGCCGGGGACTTCTTTTCTCGAATCTCCCGTAGATGTACAAAAGGCGAGTGAAAGAATATTTGTTTTCCTCCTCGTCATTCGACGTATATGGTTAACTTCTGCACAAGCTGTTATTTTCCTTTCCTCTTATTATTCCTGAGTTGTCTCTCGTTTGCCACAAAGAAAGGTATACACGTGAGTCTCACCACAAAATTAAATAATCCTCTTTAGAGAGGAAAATTTTAGTTCTTTCTGCTTCTTTTCAATTTTTTTTCTTTTCTGTAAATTTTTAGATACAATTAATCTTTGAAAAATACTGTCACTTCCCATTAATTTTCTTCTATATCGATAGATTTCTTCTCTTCTTCCGTTCTGGCCGATTCGCCCGGCGCTCTGAAGCGGCCAGCTGAACTCGTGGCGACGGTAAACAACGACTAAAGCGAAATCGATGTGAATCGGCTGAGTGCGAGCGCGCGAGTAAGAATCGGTAAGAGGGAGAGACTTTTCGTGGCGGCCGCACAGGTTAAAGCGGCCCAGTTTAGTCACCGAGCACGACGTGTAATTTTCGTTCCTACACAAACAAAGATGGACTATGAAGATGGAGATCGCCCACGGATCGAACGCCCATATCAGAACATCGGGAATGCGCGCACGACCATTTCTCCTTTTCCAGATGTATGTCTCCATCGGACCTATTCGCACGTATTTACCACCGCGTTTGTCACAATCGATTTCTAATACGGGTGGGACAGTGAAAACAAAGAAAAATCGCCAATGTGACAACAAATCGCGGAGAATGAAGAAATATGAAGAAATATACTTTCAACTAAACATAGCCACTTTTTGCTTCTGAAATAGAGAGCTTCTGAAACATTTCAGTCCATTAAAGAAAGAACGTTATGCATTTCCGGTTTTTTTTTTTTACAATTTAATACACTCGTAACACGAAAACTGCGATCGCGTTAAAGACTTTATTGACTATGTTTCGCCACGCCAACCTCGATGTAATATGCGAGAGAAACAGCTTCATTTATTAACCATTTTAGAACCTTATGCGGGCTCGTTAAGTTGTATTCCGTACGTGTCGTGCAGTCTACTGTGTGATCGATATGGGAAAGTTAATCTTTCGTGGAAAGTTGGCGAGACAAGCAGCGCGAAACAAACGGGATGATACGGCGAATAACTTAGGCATTCCATGTTGCAAGCGGGAGCGGAATTACAAACGCTTTATTGCGCGTATAAGCATTTCAGAGTGCGTCCCGCGCTGGAAAGCTAAACGAGGAGGTTCAAGGCCCTGCATCGTGCGACCTCGCATTCCAAAATATTCGTCTAAAAAATGAAAAAATCTACAAAAATTTATTTTTTTTTTTAATTTAAAGATTTATCTACTCTTTAGTAACTTAACATCGTAAGTTAAATCCGCCGTTTATCAGGCCTAATAAAAAGTTTGTATGTGTGAAGAAATCGATACACGTATTTGAATAGTGTGCGTTAAAGTGATCGTAAAACATTGGAAATTCGTGCGGGAAAGCTAACGCGCGTTAATGGCACGAGTCTTGAAACCTGTTGCGAAAGTGCTATAGCCGGAAGATGCTCGTATACATGGACAAGACTCTATCCCGGCGAGATAACAATCGCTTTAAAAGATCCGGTCGTTTGCAAATGTTATGATACCTAAACCAGAATTGGCAGTTAATTATATACGAGAGTCTCGCAACTCGAACGTAATTAGCATGTCTCCCTGATTACCACAATTACCGTGTCGTCCTTTAATCGACAATAGCATCCGACATTGTTGCGCCACGCGTCAATCAAATTACTGCAAATCTTGATGACGGTGAAAAATCGCGATTCCCTCGGCCTTCGAATTATCGGCGCGTGACCCAGATCTTTGTTTCTGACGAAGTTTCTTTCTGATTGCAGACGGCCAAGAACTCAACGTCCGGCAGCGGATACTACGTGGGCGGAAGCAGCACTCTGCCGCGCGGTGGGTCCCTTCTAAGGGCGTACAGCCCGGCGGCGTCGAGCGTCGTCGGGGGTCCAAGTGCGACCCCGACGCAGCCCAAGACTCTCACCACACCAGGTATACGAATGCCCGCGTTTCTCCGATTTTTCTTGTTTCTACGTGCGTGTCATCGTGCACGCACGTTGTACATAAACAAGTCTCGTTCTCGAGACCCTTATTGACACGATTCATCAAACGAGCGGCCCAACAATGCTCGAGTGATCATTTTCGCGCTAAATTTCCAACATTGTATTGTATGTCAATACATAAAATTTATCGTCCATAAATATAAACCAGAAAATCCCTCGCATTAAATTTAGAGTGAACGCTTGACAATTTATTGCACTCAATTGGAATTAAGTATTATGTTTATCATTTTATAACTTCTTCGCATAAATAGATTTATGATCAACCACTACAATATTTGTATGTGTAGAATTAGATAGAAATTGATTTAATTTGTAAAATAAATTCTCTGTGGAGTTATATGATAAAGCTGCTATAAGTAATAAGCAGGATGTAGCACGTACTTCTAAAGAGATTATAGAGCGACAACTTTGGGCCGCTCAATGGGAATTTACCGCTTCGTGCGCTGCATTTCCTTCATGCCTGCACCGATGTTCTCTGTAGTATACCATTCTCCTCCTGAGATTTATGCAAACATATTATACAACGCGCACACCCGCATAATTTCTCAATCCCTCAGATATCTCACCTAAGGTGACCAGAAACGTGAAGCCCCACCTTTGAAAACATCACGAATATAAAATTCCAAAATTTTTTTTGACCTCTTTTGATCTCGAGAAATCGATGCAATCCAAACATGGTATACATGTATTATGTCCTATTTTTAAAATTATAAAACTGCAATGAGAGGTTTTGCAAAATTTCAGCAAATTGGAGTAAAAATTTGATATCAAATTGGATTTCTTCAAAAGGATCTCTTTCGGTAAGAAGGAATTATAATACAAGGAATTGAGAAACTAGATAGATTTTATTCGAATACACGGTAGATTGATTCTATATTGACATTGTAAATTCTGGTCGCCTTTTATACAATACGCTTAAATAGCTGTCGATTCCAATATCTGTACATGATATCCAAAGAAATATGAATCTCTTTTACCGTTTTGCTGAAAATTGGTCGAATCGACTATTCAATCGACTGAAACGATTGAAATAATTAATGTATGTTACAATTTATAGTGCATTTGAAAATAGGAAGCAATTTGTTAGCGATGATGGGTCGCCCGATTTTATAATCTGGAATAACTTTTATATTTTCATACAGCCGAGAATCTAATTGTATAATATCATTTCGTTAAAACAAACGGCACAAATTATTAATAATCTTATGGATATAGTTGTATTTATTTAAGTTTATATAACAATTGTTTTTCAGTTTCTCACCTTCAGGCTGCAAATATTATTCCAGGTCATAAAGTTACATAATTCACTCGGATTATCAGTTACAATTAGTTACATAATTCATTCTAGTATTCCAAATTATATTTCTCGAGAACGTTATCTTCGCGATTTAATTGGCTTGCAAAGAAAGACCGCTAACAAAGAGATGATTAACATTGTTCGCAATTAAGCGGATTTTTTTCTGAAACTCGACCAATTTTTCTCAATGCGTATCTCGTGCTTTGAGCTTAAACGCATACATCCGCACACAGACGCACACACTCGCAATCGCTCTCCATTCTTCATGCTCCCGATCGACGGTTGCAAGGTCGTTTCGATTCTTAGTCGTTCAACGGAGATCGTTACGACCGTCGGCGTTGGCCGAGCGCTATTCGGGACTACTCAAAAACACTTAATAGGCTGCTTGGTCCAAGGGGAAAGGATGGCCTCATTTCTGGCCGCCACGAGCGTTCTCCTTGTTGTCGAGAGAAACGTTTTACACGGAGATACCGGGAGCCGGCGAGAGGAACGGATTCAGGATGCGTGAATAGCCTAATCTCACGTAGATCGATCGTGATTAATCATCAACCGCTATGACGAGGCAAATCTATTTTGTATGGCAAAACGCGCGAGCGTCTTCCGAACGCTGTCAGCCAAGAAAAAAAAGTCAACTTATTAAACGAAAGCATTTTCTAAGGAAGACATTTCTCTTGACGCTACGATTATCGTGACGCGGTCGAGAAGTGCATATATGTAAAAGTCGACAAGCTGTTACGTCAAAATTTTAACGACACTCATAATCGCGCAGTTATAAGCTCGCAATGCGAATCTAGGTACGTAATAATCGTTGAAACTATTCTGAGAGATGACTGTTAATTCTATCATCGCGCTTTTTCACTTGCCCGAGGCTCGCAATCTTGCTCCGTTTGATAAATCGCCCGCGATTGCTGCTCGGGAACGTTATCGCGGCCCCAATCGAGTTGTACACCCATGTTTCGGAAATATCGAACGTTTGTGGACGCGCTACATGAATTTCAATCGGATCTCGCGCGAGAAGTTCGCGGAGAGACATGAGAAATGGCTCGATCACGCGGATCGCGCGGTACTCTCGTCTTGTTCACTTCTGCATGTGCACTGAACGTCGAACGGCTTAGCGAGGGTGGCGGAAGAACAGGAGATACGTGCATCGGAGCACCTGGGTATATTGGTTTTTTGTTTGGTTTTTTGGATGGTTGGATAGGTGTTGGCGGGGTGCCGCCGGCCAAGCCGCTTCGCAGCTACCAGTGTGGTAAGAGTCCCCTTGGAAGCCTCGGGGGCTCGGCGCGCTTCTCTAGAGACAGCTCGGTCTCCCTCTATAGTATACCAGGTCAGTAGTATCCTTAAACATTCGTCAGACACAGCTCGATCCTTCCGCGACGGACCGCGGGACGATCGCCGATCAATTAACACGTGCTTTACCGGAAAGCTCGACTGATCTTTGATGCCTGAAGCTTGCGAGCCAAGCAATAACGCCTCCTTCGAGCTATACTGCAATAAAAACTAAACTGCAGGTGTGTGTGCCTTGAAAAAAAAAAATAAAATGTCCGTAAAATAAATTTTATACAGAGTACAGGCGAGAGAAAAAACGTTAAAGCTGAATATTTCTTATCTAGAATCGCCATGAAATGTATTACTAAACAAACTGCTGATTGCTAATATTACTAACAGCATTGTAGCAAATAACAATTGCACACGACTTACAACTAATTACTAAAAAGGCACGGTTAACGAAAGCTGAAGAAGAAAGCAAACTTTTTTGGATTATGTGCAATATAAAGCTTACGAAACATCCTGCTTAACAATTCGTAGCGCGCACGTTTTATACAGTTTCCGGTTTTTGTAACGTTATTTATCTCGCTACGCAGCGAAATATCGTACGCTTTGTAAATTTTGTAACATCACTACGGCGCAATCAGTTGCGTGTGTGAAGTGAAATAGAAGCCAGTTGTAACGCAAAATAAAACCCAGTTACTTGCGAAAAATAGCGGTTATTTATCGTTTCCACAGCGGTATGTATATAATCCAAGCGATAGATAAATTCTCTGCAAGTTAAATCCTTATAAGACGCGAGCTAATCTTTGCCCGTCCGAAATGTACGTCGTGAAAGAGAGATCTTTTTATATTTTTTAAACGGAAGAGGGTCATTGTGGACGAAGAGTAATGGTACAAGTTATGAGCAAAATACTAATAAATTTTACGCAAACCACGTATGCCAAAAATGAAACAATGTGGCGTATTCGTAATAAAGAGAAGTTGAACCACGAGGGCGGTTGGCTGTTTGAAATGCAGTAACTGCAGGAAAACTGCATGAAATTGGCAGTCGCGATTAGCCAAGCCGGGTCGAACCAAGTTTTAATTAAACGACCTCGAGACCGTGGAAATAGTGTTGGGAATAAATAGGAATGAAATCGAAATGTTTTGAATTCACGCCGGTAAAGTCCACAGATGCCGTTGACGCGTCGCGCGAAGAAAGGAAAAACTTTCTTGAGTAATGTAAAACTTGCAACTTCCTCGAAAATTGATCTGAAAGAGTAAAAACTTATGAGTTATTCTCTTACTTTTGTTAGTCATAGTAAATTAATCAGAAATATTTGACGTAGCGTTCTAATTATTTATTTTCTAATATTATTTGTGATAACAAACTCTTGAGATATTTTCTGATTTAATGCAGATCTAGGATCTAAAAGAAATTTGTGTTAATTATCAGTATCATCTTCTAGCAATCTCGTTCGCGTAAATTATTGATTATGATAACAAAAAGTAGAAAGTGCCGAACAACTACAAAATTATTATAATAAAGTTATCGTAGTTCAATATATTCCCAACACTGAAGCAACATCCTTCAAGAACCTCTAGAAATATCCTGCGTATATCGTCTTCCCCGTACAACGCCATGTGATATCATCATAACGTACGAAAAACAGCATTCTCTTTCATCCCATTTTTCATCCGCTCCCGCTGTCACTCGAGAACCGTAGATTGTGTGCCCTCCCGTAAGAAGCACGATCGTCAAAGGTCTTTTTTCTCATCCTCTCCATATCACGATGACTAATATAAACGAAGTTTCCTTCGTCGATACGGCATCATATCCCCCTGATTGTAATTTCATTTGCACATTTCGCGCAACACGAAACTCCGTACTCGACGGAGGTATCGAGCCACAAATAGATGATAGCAATCATGAAAATTCTCTGGAAGACACAAGAGACGTTGTAAAAACAGAACAAGTAGAACAAACGTTGCGCGATGAACTCGTTATCATATCAAGTTGTTAAGTAAAACTGATCTCGATCTGTTTACTTTATTACAAGCTGAATGTTTGGTTTTTCGTTTCACATATTGTTTACGAACTAATATTTTGCTGTCGGCATTTTTCCGACGTTTAATTGTACTATTATATGAATTTTAATGATATTACGTGAATATCATTGTAAGTCTCCCTGTACATAGCAACCGTTCATTATTTCCCAGTCTAATGTAAAGATACAACGCAATGATGCAGGGAAAGCGAACTTTGATGGTGTTCTTCACGTTGATCTCGCTAATATACAAATCACTAAATCTCTGCAGATCGGTTACACGGAGAGAGCGGATACATGAGCAGCCCCGAGCGCGGCGGCGGCGTTGGTTCCGGAAGCGGAAGATATCCACCCGGACCTTACAGCGCCGGCAGCAGCTACGAGGATCCGTATTATTCGCAGTACTCGGGGACTGTGACACCCGTTATCGACGAAGAAGCCAGGTAACCGGAGTTCCAAAGTAAAGACGACTCGCGATCGCATTCGCTAAAAAGGCACGGTGATACGATTGTAACTGACGAAATTCTGCATTCAAAAGATTTTCTCAATCTGTCCCAGATTTCCTACGTTTTCTTTTATCCGCGAATTTCCCTGACGATCGGCTTTAAACTCATTTGTTTCTTGCCAAAATTACATCGAGCATTCGTTGAGCTACGAACAATTTGAAGCTTAAAGATCTTTATTAATTAAATTCTAAAAATACAAATAGATAGACAAACTTTATTCTTTATTTAACAATTATACACTGATTACGCTTTCGGTAAAACTTTTATTTGAGATTTTGCTAAGTTTAAAAGGGTGAGGTTGCGCTGCTGTTGATCAAACTAAAATTGAATGAATTCGTAAATTAGTGGAAAAATTATTTAACGAAAAGAAAATGTACAGAGTTTAGAGTACTCTACATATGAATTTTTTAATAGGAAAAGAGTAACTATTTGAATGCGATGGTAGAACGTTCGCTACTTCACTACATCGAGATTCATTTCTCATTCGCTTTATAAACGTTCCATTCAATATTTCATTCACGCAGAATATATTTTTACTCTCTCTCTGCTTAAATATCTCGGAACTGGTTGACTTTATTAAATAAGCGGTTACAATGTTATTGCCGCACGAAGGTCCAATTGCGGACAATGTGTTTTTCACCCCGACGAATTATATTGACTGAGCATAAATGCACGAGTTCATTTGTTACATATAGCGTCTTTAATAACAGATCCAGCACATCTCTATCCGTGTAAATACGACGCTGTATCCGTATGAATAAAATCCATTCACCCGGAAACCCCTATCCGCCCGTCCTTCTGTTCGTGACCTCTTTACCAGAAAAACGTCGTCTCCGGTCCCACCCTGAATGACCGAAACTCTCCTCTCCCCCTCCTCCTTGTCTCCACCGACGCTGGTCTCCGTACCGCGACCTCCTCCATCCACGGATGTTTGATAGCGCGGATGTGTATGTTTGTTGTGGGTGGTGCAGCGATACGGAGCTGTTGGAGGAATCGTACAGCCTTTACGGCGTGAAACCACCGGGGCGTCCGCCGTCTGGTCCCCCGCGATCCCCGTTTCCTCCGGGGGCGCCACCCCCCCTGCCACCCGGCGGACAGGCCTACGACGCTACTCGGTACTGCACCCCACGTCACGCACACTCTGTCGCCTGCGTGTTTGTCTTGCGTAGAAATCTGCCTGCCTGTGCGCGGAATAAAAGGAAATGAATAAAAAGAGAGAGAATGAGAGAGAGAGAGAGGCAGAGAAATGAGAGAAAAGAGAAAGAAAGAGGGAATGAAAAAAAAGAGAATTGAAACCATGCGAGATTCGTGCCACGACTGGCTGGCTGGCTGGTTAGCTAGCTGGCTGGCTGGCTGGCTGCTTGCGAATGAATACGAGTTGTTGCATGAGTGTTTTGAACGAACTGCTCCCCGAAAGCGGAGCGGTTGGGCATCCGGATGCAACTCTTGTTGGCAAAAGTCTCTCTTAATCCCGGAAATTGTCCTACATAATTTTTACAAGCATAGCTATTGGCCAGAAACTTTTCAAGCGTTGCTCGGTTCAGAAAGAAAATTCAATGATTGCTCTCTTTGTTTGATATCCGGATTCATCACTGAAAAACAAAAATGGATACGTTCGGATGTTATTTTATCACACATAGTTAAACGTCGAATCAAAAGTTCTCCAAATATTTTTCATATTGAATTAACCAGAAATCAGGATGTCTGTTACTTGATATTTTAACATTTTTTAGATTTCATGAATATAAAATCGTTATCTACATAACGTTGATGTAATTAAATTCTGTCATAAACCTCTAAGTATGAACAAATTTTCTTTATATATGAGAATGTATAAAATTTGCAAATTTGTGGCATTGATTAAATTAAAAACTTGTTATAAAAAAACATCCTTTTCCTTACAATTCGAATTATTTATAAATATATAGAATTATTGCCAATTATATTTTCTTTGTTTAGAGACACAATCCAATTAGTAATAGATGTGTTTATATATTATATATAGACTTTATTGTATATAATATCGTTTAAAAAAAATGTCCATTAATTGAGGAGATTTTTTCCACATAACTCATCTCATGGAGAAATAAAATATTTCTGGCCATTTAATTACTACTCAAACTCTAGCAATTAAATTGCAATATTGATCAGTATCCATTGCTGCTCATAGGGAGTGGTAGCGTTGGTTAATTGTTCACTTTTATTTCTTCATACGTTTCCATTATTTCTGTCTAATAAAAAGCATTTGCAAATTTTACACTGATATTTCGCGTTTTATCATTCAATGGGTTTCATTTGATCAAAATAAGCTGTTTTAATGAGGAACTTTTGGAATCTCGGAAAAAGAATCGTCTATCGAACTGGGAAATTTGTCATTCCGGAATTAACCCGATCATTATACAAATGTAACATTCGCATTCGTGAAATATCGGTTTGATTGATCTGAACGCTAATGATTTTTGCCCGTAAAACGTTTATTGTTTTTCTACCGAGTTCAGGAATTTATAGGAACTTTATTACGAGTCTCTCTTTACCGAGAACTACGTGTTCCCTTTTTAACACGCTACTACTCCCTTCGTCACGCGAAGCAAGAGCTCTGTCCTTAACGAATCGTCTGCAAGTGCATGTTGTAGAGTACGTCGGATATCTTAATTGAGTGATCATGAGAGAGAAAGACAGAGAGAGAGAAAGAGAGAGAAAGAAAGATATGTCATTGCCAATTTCGTCGGATTACATCTCTTGCGCGAGGCAAAGTTTGATCGATCAGTGGCACGGTTCTAATGAATATGTACTTGAAAGGTGCGGAAGCGAAGTTATATTATTACTTTAATTATATTAATTACATCGTCATAATTAGGCCAAATATTTGTATAAATTATAAATGACATAATATTGAACTTTGAAATTAATTCATTATTTGATTGATGTAAAAATAAGTTATATTTTTTAAATTAATACTTAATTAAATATTAAAAATTTATATTATTTTTTGTACGAAAGTTTCGACCGTATTTACCACAAAAATGATTCTATTTTTTCAAATTTTTTTATATTAAAAATTATTTTATTCTAAAAAAAAAATGGTAATAATAATATTAAAAACAACAAAAACGGACAAATTTCTTCTTTTATGCGAAATTCAAGTTTTATACGGTACTGCACAAACGATAGGTTGCATACATATACAGTGTATACGCGTGTCACAGATAATATAGAAATATAAATTACCTTTTTAATTAATCTTTAATTCATTTTTTGAATTAAATTCTACTTTAATTAGAAGGTTATTTAATATTTAAAGTTATTAATTTAATCAGAATTCTATATGAAAATATAAATTAATAGAAGTACTACAGACAAGTACTTTTTCAATATAATCTCAGTATAAATCTCCCGATCGAAATTTTACTTGACTTTTAATTACGCAAAGAAACTAACGACAAAATGGATATGATTGTTAATGCATGTTATACACTGTACGTCAGTTTCCGGGATGCTCTACATACACTATTTGCAAAGTACCTAATTATAATAATTACGCTCTCTGTTGCTCAAAAAACAAGATGTGTGTATGTGTGTGTGTGTGTATTATATGTGTAAATATGCCATAATTAATGTGATTCGAAGAATAAATATGATACGTATAGAAGTATAACTTGCAACTCGGTGGAATGCAGCATGCCGACTAGCGATCGTAGACGAGAATGCATTGGGCATATACAGGGTGTTTTGCACGTAAAAAAAAAAACACGGGAAAAAAATCGAATACACACAATCACGTGTTATAAATTTATTAACGTGCCTCGGAGTAAATTTAATGAATAGCATAACAGACGGTTCACGAAATTCTCTGCAACATTCACTCCGCTACGATGAAGCTGACACGACAATCAACTATTTGTCTCCTATTTCTGCACTTTCCACAGTAATCCACGTAGAAATCACTATAAATAGTAATATTATGTTTTATTATAATTATTAATATTACGTAGTGTCCCAATGTTACTTTATTTTGCTTTTGCATAAAGAGAGAGATAATTTTATATAAGAAACTCGCACTCTTTGATAACTTCATCCAATTTCAACGGAAGATATATTTCTTCCTGCAAAACGCATCGATAACGAAACTTACCCGATCTTAAAAACATTACATAATTCTCGCTTAAAAATCCACATCTGTCGTTAGCCACGTAGATAAGCTCGGAAGCTGTCGAGCATTCGGTTCTCGTATAAAAACTTTCTAGACAGAGAATTGACGCTACCCCGCGGAGCGAGAAGTATATATTGGGCAACTGAATCGGATACTTGTCGATCGCCCAAACTCACTTTACCCTCGCACGACTTTTACAAAAGTTGTATTAACACGAAACTGTTCGCCATGAGGATCACGTAGCCTCGATCCGCCGCGTGTCACATATGTCACCCTGTATATCATTTTATGTACTGTCACACGTGACGTAGATTGGGCACTGCTGTCACTTGTCATGCGAAGCGATAGATGCACGTGATTAGCATCGTGTTATACATATATAACTCATATCCGTTTTCACTGACAGGAAGTATATATTCAGAAGTGAAGATTCCCATGTATCGCTTGTACGTGAAGAGAGGATCTCTCTCGCCGCAAGCAAATTTCATGTCCTTCAGGTGAAAACGGATATACGTAGAGTCTCTATCAGTTTTTATTGTTAGTATGTTGTGACGTGTAAAGTCTCTCGATCTCTTACAATAGATCGAATGCCAAAATGTTAGATTATAATGATAAGTATTCGCTCAGCAAAATAAAAGATAGATTTTTTATTAAAGAGTGTCCTCCATTCATCGATATCGTCATTTTGCTTTTTCTCTAACATTGATCAGCTACATCGTCGCCTTATCATGTTTTGTACGACATTCAGCTTATCATTATCATCTTCATTATTAGCACGATAACATTATGAATAATGTGGTTTAAGATAAAATCTCATTTGATAACGGAACTAATAGAAATCGAGTTATTTTATAAATTGTTTATCTGCTGTCTATTCAAGGAAACGTCACACTTGTGCAAATTGAGACGAGTCGAAGCAGATAAGAACTTAAAAAATTAGAAGAAAATCAAATCTAATATTTTTACAATTGTTAACAATTTTTCGTTTTATCGAACATGCCATTTTATCTCTAATTGACCGAGTAACGTCTATAGTATGGTAAAAGGATTTCTTTTGTTCTGTATCTGATGGATTACTTGTCGTTTAGCGCATGAAACTGTCTGAACAGATAACGTAATGTCTGTTTAAAGCAACCATGATTCTTGCAGCATCCAAGCGTCTCGTGTTCGCCGAACGCCTAGCGTGTAAATTTTCGGAGCTGTCCCATCTTTTATTTTTCTTTTAGAGCGACGGATAAGCGTTAACCGCGTCGTTCCTGACTGAGAATTATCTGTCGCAGGATAAGGGTGGAGCACATGGAAAGACAACTGGCCAATCTGACCGGGCTCGTGCAGAAAGCACTGACACACGCGCCGCACACCAGTCCTTCGCCGCGAGAGTACTTGCAGGTCCCACCGGGACGTGATCCTTACGCGAGAGCAGCAGGTACGTGTCCCGTAAAACTCGCGATTTCGTTTCCTCTCTAGGTTTTTTTTTCCGTATCTTCGATTTCGCTTTCACGATAAACCGTCGTTTTACCACGGTTTTCGATAACGTATCGCTCTAAGAAGACAGGATCGTCTCAAACGCAGCGAGAATTATTTAACTTTTTTTTTTATTTTGATATAAAATTGCAAATTATAATTGTTTTCGTTACTTCTGGGACGAGCCGCGTTATAAAAATGCCGTTATAGCAATCTTGGGAAATCTTTGTCCGGAATAAAAGACGATCGATTTAGCTGTTTAGCGATGCCACTTCATTTATCCCCGTTTCAGTGCTTATTTTACAAAAAAGTTTTAGAACGTATTCACTTAATTCACTAAGATAGTTTCAGCTAAGAAGCATACGAGACTGCTAGACACCTCACATAAAATAGTCTCTACTAACATTCATCTTGTTCGTTTCATCTGTGCCTGTTCATCTATTCATCTTCATCAACTTTCGACCACTCTGACATCTCGTAATCCACGGTTCTTAGTAACATTATCACGGCGCAAATGCGTCGGAATCAATAGTCGATAGCTAGATATTGAGAAAAGGCGGCTACGGCGATTTGTTTGCCAACACACACCGCTAACTTTCATAATATAATATAACCAATTGTAGATGAAAAGTATCAAGAATATAATTTTGAGGAAAGAAAACGAATTCTCTCGTACTATTAGAACCGTATAGAAATAAAAACGAAACAGAAAATAGAGCTAGAAATAAATACAGAATATTAGAAATATCCAATATTTATATAAAAAATAAGAAAGAGTGTTTGACGTTCGTGTCATTTTGTTTTCGCGGTTTATGATTCGTGATAAACGTCGTGGTCGCCTTCTAGATAAGTTGAGATTCGCTGAAACGACACAACTTTAGATACGAACGTGCATACGTATACATATGTGTTGCGTACATACATGCAGATATACATATATATTGGAAGAATTTATGCCGTGAGCTACGCGCCAGTAACAATATGCCATTATTTATACCCAGCATGTTTCGAAAACAAATTAAATTAACGCTAGAGAATATTCGAATTATTTAGCAATATTTTCAATACACGCGATGTGTGTAATATCACTGCGTAACACTGTAACTTTATTAGAATAAATATAAAACAAAAAACCGCTCTTGCAAAAAGTAACGAAATGAATAACATTCATGATACAATTTTTTTGCAAATAACTTATTAAATAAAATAAAATATAGTAGTTTCATGCAAATCCTCTCGATAAAAATTTTTAGAGTTAACGTTGCTTCTCCAATTTTTTGGACGGAAACGTACAGAGAATCCTGCGAGAAATAATCTCGAATTAACAAGCACGTCGGAATTTTGTCAAACAATTTTGCCGATTGAACGAGACGCGATCGTGAACGTGATTAATTTTGTCAGCGAGCTTTGTTTCGAGCTTAAATACGCACATTATAGCAAATATTTTCGCGTAACAAGCTCGGGAAGCCGCTTCCGCGAGCATTGAATCTAGTTGAATTCGACGGCATATAGTTGCCCGTAGCGATGTAGTCTCACGGACTGAACTCTCCTGAAACCCTGCTGTACAACTGCTTTGTTATTCTGAACTAACGCACACACCAGGCGCCGGGGACGAGTTCGACAAACACTCTAGCTCCAGCTCTGCCTCACTGCCAGGTGTGTCTCTCATCTTCTTCTATCTTTCTATTCACCTCTGAATCACTGTATAACCGCTACTTATATATATATATATATATATATATATATATATATATATATATATTTATATTTACATATACGTTTATTTTATATATAAATATATATATATATAATATGCAGATATATTACAATTTTTATCTACTTTTACATATATATTTTTCTATACATATTTATATATCATATATATATTTAACGTTGTCTCTACTTTTATTGCTGTTAATAAAACGCGTGTCCTTTAAAATTCAAGTGTCTCAACCTGCCGTTACAGATGACTCGTACTTAAGGACTGACGTTAAACCGCCAAAATTAGGCAAAGGTGCGCTTCAATATATATGTTTCTTTTATATATGCACTTTTGCGAATGCTCGCTGCATTGTCGCCTCCTATATCTTTTGCGTTGTCGTCGTTGCACGTCCTTCTCATATAACATAATCGTACCTTGTTTCATCTTCTTGCTCGTGCGATCTTGATTTGGTGGACATTTCACCAACAAATTTCGACAGCGTCAACATTTTTCGTTTAATCTGCTCATCCGTGATTGTCCTCTTTTTCTAACATTTTGCATTATGTTTGTCTATATCCAAATCGCGCGATCGTTTTGTTGATTTCGTTTTCTCGTGAGTTAAAACTCTTACAAAAAGAATACCGTTGTCCAATTTATAACGCATTATGTTCTTTTGCAATCATCCACGATGTTCGTTTGCATGGTGCACGCGCCGAAACGTCTCTCGACACTTTCATGATCGTTTTACTCAGCATATCAGGCTTTAGGGATGATTCGCGAGAGCAGCTGCTCGGAGAGCTTCTCAGAAATGGAGATCGCGAAACGTCAGAATTGCATTAATTAAAGTACTCGTAAATTAGTTTAGATAAAGAAAATCGATTCAAGCAAACTGAAGGAGAATGCGAAGTTGCGCTTTTAACTTAATTAGTATTTTATGGCAAGTAACTCTCTCAATCGAACGAGAAAGGTACATATTCCGAAAGCCCGCGCTGGTTTCATCCCCCATTGCCGAGGTCCGCTCCGGCCGAATGCTGCACTTTCACACGTACACGCTTCTTACGCTTCTCACGCACATACACATACGCGAAAATATGCTGATCAACATCTATTGCAGACAAGTCGGTGTCGTTTGAAAAGTCAGTGTCCTTCAGTGACGAGCCACCAGACATGAACTCTCCCAAACAACATTCCCCGCAACATGCAGGTAACGGCTAATGCACGTCACGTAAAAGAAAAGAAAAAAGAAACAAACTTGCAAAATGTATGCTAAGCACGCTGTAAAGGCCAGAATATCCAAATCCACCATTGTCGGATCATTTTTGTTGAGGAAGTGGTAGACGTTCGTCTAAACGCTAACGTTGTAGCGTGCCTCAGATCGCAAAACAATTCGCAAGAGAGAATTCTCGTTTCGCAACAATCGCCAGATATACACGCGATAAATTTTAAAGTCCTAATATTTGAAGTTTCTATTCTTTTAATCCTCCAGGTTCTACTGGAATATAATAGAATAAATGAAACCCTTTCTCCCTTTTGCGTTGCAAATATTGGAGATCCAATTACAATTGAAATTTGTCGCGCGCGATGACAACATCGATCTTTTCTTGCCGAAGTAACAGAAACTCGGGTAGCAATTTAAGAACTGTACAACGAGACTTTGGGTCGTGATTGGCTGTTTTGCAACGAGCAGGAATTGGATGCAATTTTGCGTCACGGGATAATATTGAAGAGTGTTTGATTTCGATTGAAGTTCGATTGAAGATTGCCACAAGTAGTGAAGACCTATAATCTGTATTCTTACTTTCAAAATCTTGTGTAGTTTTCGTGTGATTCATGCTCGACTTCAATTCGATCGATTAACGCGAATAATGGCTCGGTCGCGTTTAGTAATCCTTTTTTTTATACACAGTTACATAAAAGATTCGTAATTAACAACGCTAAACACAGCGATGAATCTGCAACATATTTTCTTGTGTCTTTTCCAATATCGATCTTCGAACGCTAACAGTATTTTTTAGAAATAACGCAAAGGAGATTTTTATAACAATTATTGCGACGATTACGATGATTTGCGATGAGATATTAAATATACGTATATTTTCACTTTTTTCTATCCCTACAATTTCGTTGAGCGAAACAATGTAATAATTTTTCCATTTTGAGAAAAATAACAGAAGAATTAATAACACCTCCCTAATGTTCAATTCTTTCGATTTCACAAGAAGAAAAAGCAAACATTTATCTAAATTCTAATATATTTATATTATATATAAAGATTGGAATATGATGAACTTTAATTTCTTGTGTCATTATTTCGCCCCACGACTTGTAGTCTTCTGATATTGCGCCAACTGCTCTTGATTATGACTGATAATAATTATAAAAAGGTATTTTACACATAAAATACGATGATTCGTTTTTGCCACTTCCTGCAATTACCCAGTAACGAAAAATCGTATTCAGTGAGTGCAATATTATAGTCATAAGAGCGATTTAATCGTAAGAGGGTTTCGCACACAAGTAAAACTATATTTATTGAAAGAAAAACGATTCTGACGCGGATACTAACGCAATAATCTCTAACGCCTTCTCGTATTCGATTGTGCAATGCCTACCACGACTAGCGGACACAAAACCTACGAAACCGGCAATCAAATCCTCCACGTTGCCGAGGATGTCGTCGCAAGGTAAAACTTCCCCGTCTTTCTGTTAGGGGTGGAACTATTCGGCAATTTTTTTACATATTTAAGAGAAATCCCAATATCTTTATCAACATGAACGAAACTTAAACAAAAGTCATGTTACTTAAAATTGACGTGCAGTAATATGAAAAGTCATATTACTAATAAATTCACCAAAAATATTTCTCTTGAAATATTATCTTCTCAGTAATAAGTATCTTTCTGTTAATATTTTTTCTATTAAACTTGCTATATTCAACCCTATTAATACTTTTTTTAATATTAAGCGATATTTAGGTACATTTCTAAAATTAGATCGTTATTCTAACGAAGATTCAAATCGTTCGATATTCCGTCGAAAAGTTCCATGTTGAGATCAGACTGAATGCTCTCGTAGATATTTAAATATTCCAGATGATTTATTATTTATTCAATGATTGCGATAATCTCGAAATAATCAGATATATTGCATTATCCGAATAGTTCCAGTCCTAAGTGTCTATGCTTCTTCCCTATGTGTCACGCTGTGTCTATCATATATTTATATGTTGTTCACATAATGGGCGTTCGTTCCAAATCTTTGATACAATCTGTTTCCGCCGTTCCGTCGTTACGAGCTCTTTCTCTTCCTCTTTTATTTTCATTTTCGTTCCTCGCCTCCTGGGACGACACTGTATGGAGGGCACCGGAAAATTGTAAGTCCACCTCTCGGTAAAAGACTGAGACGAGCGCGCTACTGCACGTCGACGTTGCTGGATTTTTAAACGAATTAATATGTTCATTTCCATGTAAATCGATTTTCAAAGTGTGTCATATGCGAGGAAAGTCAACCTGCTGGTTCCAGGCGAGAGCGAAAAAATAAACTAAAAGTAAATCAAGCCACGTACGTACAAACAAACTGGTCCGTATGTTTTCATGTGAAACTCATCGGGAACACATCGTGAAGCCCCGTTAGAAGTTACTTTGAAAAACATTTCGCATTTCATATCAATCACATTCAGTAACTCTGAAGCAGTAACTTATTTACTCTCTCTCTCTCTCTCTCCGAGAACGGGATTCTCTCCAGTTTCTCTCTCTCTTCGAGATTATCCGCGCCTTACATTCGGATGAGAAATTCACATGTCTCTCCCATTTCGAAGCGTTACTTCGGAGCCACATATCGCCCGACCATGTCGAGGATGCGCGACTATGCCCTTTTCTATGTGCCCTTCATATATCATCGCGTTGACGAACGCTTCGCGGCCGCGTGGGCGTCCGTGCGCGGGACAGGAGGCAATTCGTACCTTCGTATTATTTTACAGGACACTCGCGACAAATGCATTTCTTCGCGTCGCGCTCGACGCTCGCGTGCCGCGCGCGTCTCGTTCCTTTCTTTCTCTCTATCTCTCTCTCTCTCTCTCCCTTTCTCTGTTCTCCAGGCCGAGCGATATGTCACGGCTGCATATCTGCCGCCGCCGATCACTCGGAAACATCACAATACATCCGTCTTATCAGTCCACCCCCTTCCATCCTGCCGAGCCCTGCTCGTAAATTCATCCTTTATTCATCTTGTCGTACTTTTATTTGCCCGCGGGGACGCGCAACGTCGCTTATCATGGGATCGGGTCATTTGGGATTGTCTCACGGATTGTCAGATGTAAAATCACGCGCGCGAATTTTCTTTTCTCGATCTTGCATGAAGCAGGTGCACCTGGTGACCGCAGCAGTTGACGAAGATTATTAAATACTTCGTTCCTTTTGCGCACCGTTTGGCAAAAACACCCAAAGCGTGTTTTTGCAGTAAAATGTCACGTGAAGGCTTCTACCTTACTTTACAAATATTTAAAAGTTGACGGTGTATTATCGCAATTTATTTTATTTATAAAAGAATACTTATCGCTAGTTGTTAACAAATAAAAAAGGTATCCGTGCTGTAATTTTATCATTTTCACAGAAACCGGTATGCACCTGTTTTATGTTTGTCGGGTAATATTGGGAAATTTGATTAAAACGCTTGCACACATCGCGAGCGCATTGAGGAAATTGATTTTCGATCGCGCGCGTTTCGCGACCTAATCGCCGATGGAAATATCATTGCGATCAGCGAGAGCGACACCCCCGTGGAGATAATTATGTTATTGTAGAGGAACGCAATGCACACACAGCGAGATACGCCACGAAGGGTATATATCACACGCATATGCAAACACGCACACACACACACACATACGGTCCTTCCGCTTGGAAATACCAGCGGACACTTTCGATCCGCCAGTTAGGTCATCCGTTGTCTCCTTCTTCCGCTGTCGTGCATTTCGTTATCTGTCCAATAAAACCGCGGCAATAAACGTGACAGTAAAATTGTGTTGTGTCGCCGACCCGTTTAACCGTTCCTGTCCTCTCATTACCGGGGCCCCGCTCTTCTATCGTGCGAAGCCCGTTATGACGAGGCGTCGATCAACGACGCCAACGAGTGGCGAACGTCAAATTTAATCAGCTGATTGAGGAACCGGCCGTGCACTCGAAACGCCGACGACGAATCGTTTATTTGCCATAGACGGCAATCAGCGACAGAGCCGTTTCGCCCTTCGCAAACTCTGCATGGTAAAATGCGGGATGGCTCCCCCGGGCCAAGAGAAATCGTAGGAAAGACAAATTCTGTCGTCCCGATTAATATTTTTACAATTAATCACATTTGGAAGCTAGAAATTAAATGAAATAAACTGTACGATGATTCACTTCATTTATAATTATTCAATATTTATTTAATAATTTAATTATTCTTTTGAATGTTCTCTGCGTTATTCGCGAAAGGGTTCTCAACTAGTACTCGTAGGCAAACGGTCTGGTTCCGGTCGTTCGCCACTCGGAATTCGAAGCTTCCTTTCGCACGGGAGAAAGAGCGGCGGCCGTGCGAGCTTAAATCCTTTAAGTGTTCGCGCAATACGCGGGTGATCATGCGGTAGACACTTATTCTTACGCGTCGAACGAACGATTTCAGAGAGAGACAGGCACAAGCCGACACCACCGCCGAAACCGGCCGCGTTGGTGGCCGGTCAGTACGTGTACAGGGACCTGGCGCTCACGCCGGAGATGTACAACCAGCTGAGGGGTTTGCAGAAGAAGGCGAAGGACCTCAGGCAAGAAGTGAGAAATTTGAGGCGCATGTCGCAGGCCCAGGCCCACACGGTGCGCGAGACCATTAAGGACACATTCATCACGATTAGGTATAAACGCATATATGACTTGCAATCGATCGAATGAATGATTATAATTGCAAATGTAAACAGCAGGATTCATGTAAGTCCAAGAACTTCTGGTTCAAGGATATAAGAGATGAGATAAAGTAAATAGTCTAACATGCAGTATTTTTCCATATAATTACTGCAGTATTTAATAACCAATATTGCAGATAAACATTGTATTACAAAAAGATATGAATAAATAAAGAAATGTTTGACGTAAATACAGCTTTATACAAATATTACGATAATATTTAATAATACAAATATTACAAATGCATATTTGCGCTTTAATAATTTTGATGTAATATATAATGAAATTAAAACACGCTTTCGTATTAAAACGAAATTAAAACACACAATGTGTGTTTTAATAAAGGAAATACTGCGGGCTCGATGACTTCAAACGATTATTGTTTCAGGGCCATGCTACTATCGGGAGGGGACGCAGCTTGGACGGCCGGGGACACGGAGAAGATTCGACTGAGCCGCGAGGAAGATCTCTACAAGCAAGAAATGATAAGGCTGGAAAAAGATCTCACGTGAGTGTCGCCGATTCTTTAGAGACGACGCTAAAAGACACGCCGCACAAAGAAACGTTAACGAAACGTTTGCGAATTTCAGCGAGCTCGAGAGCACCGTGGAGGAGCTTCGCGGTAACGTGATCAATAGAAAGACGCGTGTCAATATGTCGGATGTGGAGAACATGGCTTTGATATTGAGTAAATCCAGGTAAGCCACGCGCGCGTTCGATCCCACTTGAGCAGAGAGCGTCATCATTGCCGTCGCGTAACGTTGACGCTAAATGCATGGGTAGAATTTTACAAATGATACGTGAACGTCTCCTCTCTCTGTCGGTGATGAGAAAATTCGGAAGAAAGAACCGGCAATATTTAGCGCTAAATACGACGGCGCAGATATACAGGATATAATTTTGCGGAATCATTTTGCTTTCCAGCAAAACTGTGGCCGATCTGAAAGTACGGTTCCCGAGTTTGCAAGAGGGTATGAAGGGCCTGCTGAGCTCCGAGATGGAAAAAGTGGTGCGCGAGGAGAAGTTCCTGAAGGAAGAACCCGAACGACTGGAGTCCGCGTTGAGGCGTTGCAAGAAACTCACCGGCACCCTCGTGACGCTCAAACGGTACGGCTTTTTATTTTATTGGAATGGTATCATGGCGCTAATTCCAGCTCGACAAGACTGCCGAGTTTTTCGATCGCGTTTGCAAGCGCGATCAAAAATTCTTACGTTTCGTTTACAACAGTAAAAGCTTATCAAAATGAAGAACAGGTATATCTTATCAAAAGCTGGTTTTAAATTTCCTGAAATCAATTCAACAAACTTTGAAGTGCGCATATCTACTTTAAATTCTAATTAAATCTCTTAACGATAGTTCTTTAGCCAGTCCCAAGATTTCAATGTACGTTCTTCCTGCGACTAGCAATCGATATAGGTATAACAGATTCTGAAAAATAAATAAATTAGAATCCATAACGCCAGATTTTCTTCTCTACTGATGAAACTCGGTTTCTGTTCCCGGCTTAGCTTGGCGTCGGTGCAAGAGCAGCGATTACCAAACGCAGCAAGCGTAGACGCCGAGGACACGCCGCCTATAACACCGACGACGGCACAGCATTCTAAGGTAACCGCTCCATTGGCCCCGCTCGCTCGCTCGCTCGCTCGCTCGCTCTCTTCTCTATCTCTCTCTATCTCTCTATCTCTCTCTATCTCTCTATCTATCTATCTCTACCTTCTATCGAGACCTAATCCTCCCACCGATTTTCCGCTCCAGTTTTTTCTTCGCCGTCGCGATCCCCGTAAAACGCACCTTTCCCCGATACCGGAAAGTACTGCGCCACCCGTTGCATGAAATATCCCCTCGAGTTCTCCTCGATCAATCCTCGTGTCACGCTTGAACATCCATATCCATGTTCTTCCATCCCGGCCTCCTCTCCCTCGAGGAAGAAGAAAAAGAAGAATCGGGAAAACATCGCGGGAAGATGGGGGTTCGTCGCGGGAATCCGCGAATCGCTAATTCTCGATTAGAGTCTCGGGGACGGTCTCGGACGAGAGAACGTTTCTCATGTCGTCGTCCTGGCTGCGAGGATCCTTTTCCGTAGAGAGTGCGCGTAATCGAGATACGATTCGTCGCGGGACGACGCGGATTTCATTTAGAGGCTGATCCTGCCACGAAAAACGTTCGAGAGGGTCGCGCCTTCCAACGCGATCGAATGCGGAAAATGAGAGATCCTATAAGTTTCCTACGTGCATACAATCCCTCCTTCTCGTTGCGTGCACATTATGTCGTGTGGCACGGCACACTTTGTCGCGAGTGGCACGGCACACGCACACTCTGATACGTGTGATGATCGAAATATTGGCTTTCGTTAGGAGATGGGCACGTCGGATTTAACTACTCTAATTATGGGCGCGACGTGTTCCAGAAGGAATGCATCATATTTGCCACAATATCGAACGAGTATAGTTAGCAATTAGTATAACATTATTAAGTATGCCTGAAAAATGAGTAAACCAGGCGTAACTCATTTATTTCCTTCCGTTTTTCTTAGAAAAATTATTCTAATAGTTTTCGAATTATATGCCATTAAAAAATGAACGATTCAAGCACGAGCATATTGGTACGTGTATAGCTTGAGATTTTTTATTCTTTATTTTTTACAGAATTTTTATTCTTTATAAGATTTAATTATTTTAAACCGTTATAGTTTGACAAATAACGCTTTGGCGTTCTCGCAAAGATAAAATAAACTTCAATTGTCACGAGGTATCATCATTGTTTCGTTATATCTTCAACAGAACATTCTATATAATATTATTGATCGCAAAAGTTCTTACTTTATCTAATCCATATTCATATGTATATGAAACGTTAACTTTTAGTATATGATGCGCGTATACGCGCATTTGTGTTATACCAAATTTAATTTCAAATCTTTTTAAAAAGTCTCTCTTGGAAAATGAGGCATTTCTTCTGGAACTTTCACATTTTATATTACTAAATTTCCACATAAAATATGCGATAATAATTTATCATCTAATTATGTAAAAAAAGTGAGAAACGATTGCAATAAGCTAATTCTTCGATTTCAATATATTGAAAAATTTTTGCTTACTATTTTTTTTACACAAAGCATAATATAAGAAAACGCGTAAACGTGTTCAATGAGAGTTCGAAACTTGCAAAAAGATTACGGAACACCCTGATTGTGCCCATCGCAGCTTCTTATTCACCTCTGCGAACTCGTCTCACCGAACACTGTCTCACACGGCGGCAATATTTACAATCTGCTACCTGTCAACAAAGTAGAGCGTCGATGAGACCACTCTCCACGCTTCGTAGATCTTTCTTGTCCCACATAAGTAAGCCGGTATGGTATTTTGCAAAGAGACGTGTACTATCCGACCACTGCTTACCCCGTATCCTCATTATGCTAACAAGCGCATGTAACGAGTGATATAGAGTTTTGTTCTGGTACATAATATATAAATATGTCTATAATCACAATACGTAAAATACTCGCCTCTCTTTCAACGTATATACATACATGCATACGCCGTATACGTCATATGCGTCATATTGTATATATACCGTACAATAATGTTTGTTCTAACGCGCACAACTTTTGTGACGCGCCGATCAAATGTCATTGATACACATACATAAATCGCTGCGATGCGCGAGACCGTCGAAAGTAGGCATCATTATGTATATACACAACGTCCGTCTGACTGTGCCTGATTATTAATTGAATTTTGGACGTGTGTCATCGCATGTGCAATAATTCTAGATATATGGATCGTCCTAACGTATTATTTCCATCAAAATGCCGGGCGATGAAATTTTAACACGCATAAACTCTGCTATCGCCAGTAATAAAATTATCGATAAACTATAAATGATTGAATTTACAGTTTAATTTTACTCGAGATGTACATTTCCGTCAATTTTTAATATTGTTGAACTTGAATTTGCTCAATTACACCAGTCGATTACATTGTTCAAGAAGCAGCGTATTGAAAATATATATTTCTAAATAATTAACATTAATAAACTGAAACTCAGTTGCGTTACATTTGCGAATGAAGATATAGGATTAATTTAAAGTAACATTTTATCTGCAGTTTTAAAGCCATAAGTAGAACAATGACGGCATAGTCAGACAGACAAACTATCGAATCGGCGGAAATATATTTACGACGAGAAGTTGGCACACGTGAGCTACGCGAAATTAATAACGAGAAATTCATTAATTGTTATTCAACAATATGAATAGCCATATTGTTAACACATCTCAAAGTTTTGCAACGCTTATGTTTCCAATGTGCTGCTACGTTGATATCATGATATCGTGAAACTAAATTCTAACTTTGATTTCAAATAATATCACTGACGAAATGCCTACTTGCAATCAGATTGTACAATCTGCCCCCATAGATAGCATGGCAAATAAAATATATAACAGTTGCAAAATTTTGTCGGGTCCTGTTATTATCGTGCTCCTTCAAAATCGATAAACGCGACAATAAAAAATTGAATTTTCTTCCAATCAAATGCAACTTCAAAAAATTACACATTTTTCTATACAATTTGAAAAATTTTAAAGTGGATTATTGTCAAGTGCTGCAAAAGCCTTCCGCTGTCTTCGATCGTCCAATTAGAGACAGACCCGCAGCTCCATTTACCTTGTTCCTCGGCTACCGCTCGCTTATTCCGCATCACCATCGTTGACAATACGAAATCTGATGTAAACCTTCTCATTAAAAACCAAAAGATCGCCTTTGCCTTTTTGCATACGTCGTACAACGGTACACTTGTACGATACGTATCTTGAGAAATCTGTCACTCGCGTGAGATTATCGTATATCTTAACATGAACAAAGAAATAACTCACCGGTCATTCGGGAGAAATAGAATCCGACGACCGGGCAGCACCGGGGTAACTAGAAACTGATTTCACGAGTGTCAATACCTGTCGTAATGCTTTAAAAAAATATATATAACGGTGCTATATATTTTTAGTGCTACTTAAGTAACAGTAGCACGTCACAATTCGCCTTGGTGCTAAAAGATATCACCTGTCCCAGATAAGTATCAGCTATCAGACAGCTCTATCGTGTACAAACGATCTTGGGACTAGTTTTGATTTAGATGATAAGGCACTTAACTTCCTGGAAAAAAAACGCGTTTCCTCAAAGTTAAATCACTTCTTCTCCCACGTCGAAATTAATTCTCCACCTCGATCTGCTTTCAATCGCATCTCGCTGTCGCGATCGAGCCGCGAAGATCAGTCGCGTTGCACACGGACTGTCAATCTTCAAGGGTCGCTGCTACGCGTTGCGATGTGGAGATCCATTAGCGAACGTCTCGCAGCGGCCGACGCCGCTCATCTCTCCGCCCAACATATCTTCATTTCTCCTCGGTCACGTGTGAAACACTATCGACTCTCTCTTGCCATCTTCTTCGATAAGGTCTTTAACGATCCTCCGGGGAGTAAAATAAAAATATTAACCGCGTATACGAATACGATGATGGCTCTCTTTCTCTCTTTCTTTCTGTCTCTATCTCTGTCTCTCTTTCTCTTTTGTTTTTTTTTCCCTCTACCTCTCTCTTTTTTCGCGAGCTCGTGCGTCTTTATCTGTCTCCCTTCTCCGAAGATTCGTCTTTTTTCGAGCCAACAATTCAACATCGCACGAAAGCATTCGGCGGAAATAAAATGTGCAATTCTCCTACAACTTGTCTCTCTCTCTCTCTCTCTCATTTTTTTTTTATTCTCTCTCTCTATCTCTTTCTCTATCTCTCTCTGTCTCTGTGATATGGACCCCTCCGTCCTTACCCACAAAACCAATATCTTCAATGTTTGCTGTGTCCCGATAGTATAGATATCTTTTATACATTTAGCGCATGGTGTGACAAAACATTCGTAGCCGTCGATGCTTATCGTTCATGAGTATCGGAAGAATCGAATCGCTCGGATCGGCTGTCTCGAGCTTCTCTTTCTCTCCCCCTCTTTCTCTCCCACTCACTCTTTCTCTCTTTCTCTCTTTCTACCTCTCTCTCTTTCTCTTTTTCTCTCTCTTTCTCATCGTCATTCACTCGTTTCGAGAGCGATTCGAAGATTGCTTGAAGAGTGGCAATGCAACGTTCGCCTAAACGTCGCGTTGCTTTAACTACCTTCGAGATTATAGCGAATGTTGCCTCACTATCCCATAAAAGCGACTTCGCAGCCTCGCATCTTGCGCTCTGCGTTTCGCTTCTTGTAACTCTCTGATCAGCGATATGGAAATAAATAATTGTAGAAACAGAAACAAGAATTATATACAGAGTTTACGCGCAAAGCGCAAGATCGCCTCGATGGCATATAGAGCGCAGGTCGCTTTTACGATCCTCTTCTTCGACGACGCCGATCACGATGTTTTGTCAGATCATTCATGAGTGTTAGTTGTGGTATAACGACGGAAAATCTGCGTCGCGACGAGTCTTCTTTCCCTCTCTCTCTTTTTTTATCTTTTTTTTTCTACGGACATCGCAAGATAATTCGTCAAGACGCGGCTGTTCGTTTGCTGATAACGAGCAGATATATCTCGTCTCTGATAACAAGCGAAGCGGGAGAGAGGCTTCCC